ATGAGCAAGAGAAATACCATATGAAAAAACAGTACCCCCCGGAAGCATTCTTTGCAAAATTATGCCTAACAAAGTCAATAGCCACACGCATTGAAGGTCCGCAAAGCACATCAACATTGAAGGTCCGCAAAGCACATCGACATTGAGATGAAGGTCCGCAAAGCACATCATCAAGCTGGTGGATCCTATTCGGGATTCGATCCATGCCATCACGCTGAAACGAGAAATTAAAATAAAACGAAAAAACAACCGAAGAAAAAAAAAAACAGTTATAATGAAAATGTATTAGAAAAATGTTAGAGGTGCTAAAGGGGAATAAAATATAAAATTAAGGGGCGGGAGGGTGGGTTTTAAAAAAATTTTGCTACTTCCTCCAAATTACAGATTAAAAAGGAATATTCTATATAACATGCGCATACAAGAAATATCAAGAATTGTTTGAGCCCACATGATTTTTTGAAGTTCAACTTTTAAGAAACGAGCCCGATGATTTATGAAGTTCAACGTTAAGAAACTAAGAGCTGTCTATCTTTGTATGTATAAATTGAAGCTGCACGAAATAACCAGGTTTATCCATATTGGATAAACCCCATTATAGGATTCAACAGCAAGAAACTTACATTATATAAAATTGATTTCGTTTAACTCCCATAGTTATATACATAAAGAAACAATACTTGTACATGTATATACAAATTATACACAATAAATACAAAATCCTGATCAATCAAAGTATGTTCACTAAGCTTTCATAAACTATTCTAAAGCTTGTATTTATGGTAAGTTATCTGTAAAACCATATGAAAAATCCCAAGTTGTGCACGTACGATGTGTAATTAAAAAGTTTGAGGACTGACCAATAAAATTGAAATGACCTGGGTACAATTACATGAATTTAATTTACACTCGTTCAATCAACATTACCTATCGACCACTGTCCACATAACCTCGTAACCGCCCACTAAATATCCCACATCATTTTTTTGTTTTATCTTTTATTAGGACAATTCTCAGGTAAGCTTGGACTTTCAGTAATGCGTTGCATTCTCGAGTTACATAATTAGCTTCTGAAATTTATACAGCTTTCACTCACTGTTGAATACATATGGGATAGAAATTCGGGCAAATGCCAATTAGTAAATCGAATAACATTGTCTCGTCCGGCAAAGTGGTGGTGCCTAAGTAGTCTCATCATTGTCAACAACAATTTAAAGTTCCTGATGTTATTAATTTCTTAACCAATGGGAATCTATTCGCCATTTGACAGACGCTAATTACGTAGCGCCGAGAATGCCACGCCTTACTGAAAGTCCAAGGTTACCTGAGAATTGTTCTAAGTTTATATGATTAATGCTTACAATATACAAACACGTATAACAAAGTCAATATATACAATTAATTTGGGATAAAACAAAACAATCTGCAAAATTTTAATAATATACAACTTGAAAAATATAATTGTAAAAAAGAAGGAAACTCAATATTAGTTAATATGTGATTTGTTAAAATAATTTAATCTGACCTGTACATTGTACGTTAACTAAAAAGTGCACATCAAAATTGTGACAGATTAACAATTACATGTAAAAACTGAAATGTTCCCCCCTAATAAAAGTTTCGGGGTGCATAGTTTTTGCCTGTCTGTCTCTTCGTCTGTTTGTCCGTGAAAACCTTGATGTTACTAATAAAATTTGATTGAATGAAGTTCTGACTTTCAAATTTCAAAATAGTATGTTTTTCTTGTGACAATACTTTTTTTTTAATACCAACAAAGATGATCTTTTGACCTTGGAAAATGAGTTACTTTTGCATAAACAATTAAAACTTTAACTTGGTCATAACGTTTGATATGGCTAATATTTATTCTATTTTAAAATCACAGGAAACGTTCAAAAATATTTTAACCTAAGAAAAGATCTTGTCACAATGAATACACGTATAAAGTATGAAAGCCCTACCCCTAGCATCAACTATGTAACCAAGGTTGAGGTTTGGTAAATTTTGCAAAAATGGGTCAAAATGCAAGGTCAAAAGGTCAGATAATCAGTATGTTGAAACCTAAAGATTGGTTTTGCTGGGGAATACACAAAGTATTTTTAAAAATTGGAGAAACAGACAGCAAGATTTCGACAGATAATCTAAATTATTATTTGATAATAATTAAAAAAGGGCAAAAAATACAAACCCCTTGTCTTTGTTTCAGTGGCCATTAAACTAGAAAGTGAACGAAAAGTTTAAAGAGAAAAGATACATTGTACCTAATTAAATTCTATTTGATCCTTAAACGTCTTCAAAAATCTTAAAACTTTTCTAAATGTTATAGAATAAAATCAAACAAGCAATCAAAGCACATATTCTATTTATACAAACAAGTGCTTAAGCATATGCCAATATTTACATATATACAGGAAACCTCATTTTTCTTTTTTTTTTTTCCCCTACTTACGATTGTATTCAGTTAATACAATATCTAAGAACATGAATTATTTTATGCCAATTTTCTTGCCAAATGTTACATATGCGTGTTTCTGTTGATGTTTTTGTTTGTTTGTTTGTTGTTGATGTGTTTTTTGTTTTTGTTTTTGTCTATTCGTTTCATTTTGCAAACATAAACGAATTGCACTACTGTCGTCATTTATGGATAAGAAACAAGAATCTCTTATTTTTTATTTAAATTTTTTATTTTTATTTTTTTTATAATTATTTGTAAAACAGATATTATATTGTTTACTGATTTTTCTTACCTTCAAATAAGAGGTTTGACAAGACAGTTTTAAGTTAATTTTATTTAAAATAAATATGTATTTGAGAGTTTTTTTCTTTTAAATATTTATTTATCCAATGCATGCAGACGGTAAATATCTTATTCAATTTTTCTACGATATGATATACTGAAGATTTTTTTGTATTCGGTTGTACATTTAAATTTTTATCACGTAAAAGTAACTAATTTATATATAAATAAAATTCAAACAAAATTCCATAAGATTTTTAACCTTAAGTATGTTAATTTTTCTTATTTATAATTTATGTAAGAATATTAAAGGCCATTTAAAAATAATTTTAAAATTTCAAATACAATTTGTTATAAATCGAGTTAATAATAAATAAAAAGAAAATGATAGAACTATTAAATTTTTTTCTTCGTCTGTAAGAATATATTTCTGAAATAAAAGCATTAAGGGAGCATCCCGACCTCATCTAACAAAAATCTCCAAACAATGGGTTTGATCAATGTCGTCATCACGGGAAGCTCTACCTTAATTTGTTTCATCTGTCCCAACAATTTGAGGTAATGCGGTTCATAATTTAGCTGCAAAAACAGAACTGTCATTTGTACCTGTATTGCACAGAAAGTGATTTTGATGAGATATTTACAAAAAAGATACTCTATGTACAAGTGAAATAAAAATTAAGGCTCACCCTACCTTTGATCATTCATAGAAAGCTTTTTGCTTTAATGCTTATGATTTGACATACAAAACAGTTGTTTGAAGCATATGAATTTTCAGAAGAATCTAATTTAAGAGATAATACTTTTTCTGTTTGAATGAGAAATAAGAAATTGCCAAGTTACTTGACAATTAAAATCTGAATAAAAGGCAATTTAGCTAGTAAGAGTTATCTCTCTTATCGGAGGGAGAATGAACCTTAATACAGCTTGAATTACAGTTAAGAAATTTCAAACTTTTGCTAAAGGACATAACTAAAATCACTACATTTTTTCACAAAAATATTCACAACTCAGCAATGTTTAACTACAGTGAAGTTAGATAATATTTTTGTCAGTAAATTACGATATATAACACTAAAAAATACAACTGTGCTATTTTGTCTGTACAAAAGGGTTTTCTTTAACTGCTTGGGAAACTTGGTATTCTTATCAAACAATAGTTCATATACCTTTTGGGTGATGAACATGATGTAACAAGACCATCTTTAAAAAGAAATTGTTTGCCCTCTCTTTGGATAAAAAACTGTCGGTTTGTGGGTAGATAGGTAAGGAAAAACCACCCTTTCAAAAGATGAAAACGAGGTTTATTAAAATGAATTTTTTTAGAGTCAAAAAATGGTAACGGACAAACAAGCAACTTTATAAAGATGACCCATATCTGAAGAAATCGAATGACAAGATAAAAGTAATAGCAAATCAAACAAGTTACACTTTCACCTGTAAATGAGCACAGTCACAAACACATGGATTAGATACTCAATACATCATGTACATAATTATGAAGTATATATTAAACTCGATACAATATAATATATTAAAGCTTTAAATACAATTTGCAAAAGCAGAACCTATATTATATGAAAATACATCATACATTGTACGATAAATTCTAAACTAGTTCAAATCTGTTTAAAACACACTCTAGGATTGTAATTTTGTTAAACAACACCCAAGCTTGTATAAAAATAATGTTTTCCGATTAAATATTGAAATTTTATATTTAAATTGCAACAATTCTGCATATTCGACAAAATGGTAATGAACATCATATATCAGAAGTAAAATATCATAGCACCTCAATCAAAAGTAAATGTTAAAGAAAGGGGGAGGAGGGATATATCACAGACAATATTATCAGTTTTGACGTTTCCCCAGCATTCAATGCGTATGTAAACCATTCAATAAACATTTAAGGAGGAATAAAAGTTTTCTGTTTGGCTAAACCCAAATATATGCAAAGCACAATTCAGTTCCTCCTCAGGCTCATAATTACTGACTTGAGTGACCGAGGAAAATTTTTGTGAAACCTGGTCGTTAATCACGTAATTCTAGGTCGATGAACAAACTATCGCAAAAAAAGGAATGCTCCAAAATGGTTTTTTATTGCACAAATTCATAAACCGAGTTGTTCTGCAACCAAGTTCTGACATTTTCTAAAAAGTAACTTTTCAAAAAAAGTACTGAACATTATTTCACTAACACTTTATTCTTGATCGCACTGCTCCTCTCTCTTAAGCCGAATATTTCTTATGATCCTGTTCTTTCATGACTGGTTCGTAAATTTTAAGGTCTTATATAGAGAGTGTCTATTGTTCATATGAATCATATCCTATTATGTTTAATACATAATGAAATATGTTTAAATTGAAATATTCTCCTTCTAAATCAGTGAATGCTGATGATAGCTTCGTGAAGAATGGGCAATGACAAACATTCATTTATCCATGAAATGCGCCCTATATGCATTCTTCATGATCACAGAAGTTTTCATGGTATATCCTGCGAATACAAAAGTACACATGATCCAGTTCAGTTTTCACAGACTTTTTGATATGTTCAGCGCGCACAAATACACGACAAATTGTTGAAACAGGTGATAAAAGTTAATTTTAGTTGCCTTTTGGTCGCATATCAACTGTGTATCAACTGACTGACGTGGCACTGCAGGAACTATCGGCGTTCTCAAAACAAAGTCTTAATTTCAGTTTATGTTCCATTTCCAGACATTCAATTCCTTCTTGGAGTCTAAAGCACATATATTTATTTTGTGTTTGTGCCCACTGTCCTAAATACACAAAAGCTGGCGAGATGACATCCACATTATTTTCCTCTTGCTGCATCAGGAATATCAATGCTCCACTTTCGCCATTTTTCCCAAAAGTTGTTCCCTCCGTAGATTCAATCAGATCAACGCGTCTCGTTCCAACTGAAAAAGCGTTATCGTCAGCTAAAATTTCGTCATCTGGAGGTGTAATATATTGGACTCCGAAATATTGCCCCTTTTGTTCATTAGCTTCGCTGTCCCATTTTAGAACTGTTTTTCCTGTGTGGCGATTTATCGTGTCTCTAAAAGCCACAATTTCAATTTGCTTGTTATGAGGACCGCGCACATTCTTGTCACAGTGGATCGATGTTCTGTTATGGACAATTCCACAAGTTATATCTACGATTGCATCAAATGGATTTTCCTTTTGTCTACCAAAGGGGTACATATTAATCCCCAACTCCTCTCTTTCACAAGAACAAGTAAATGAATCTCTACATTTACTACACTTCGAGAAAAACACGCGCATTTCTTTCTCAGGCGCCACGTGTTCACAGGTTATGAAATAAAGAGTGTTAACTCGGCGTGGTACTTCGCCATTTGCATCTACTCTTTCTGCAAATACAGTGATTATACCACTTCGGGATCCCTCGCCCCTTATCATATCGCCAGTCCGGTAGTGAAATGAGGGCTCTTTCCATTCCAAAAGACATGATCTATCAACTTCGTAATGATCACGAACAGCTCTCTTGATGCGCAAAAGCAGACAATCATCATCAATCCATGCAGAATCAACATAAACAGTAAATTGTTTGTCCTCTATTCCAAATGACCTTAATCCATGAATCCTGCATGGAATATGTAGAACATTTTGTTAATTATAATGGATACACTTGTACAAAATATCTAGTGCAAGTATATGTCTGCTCTTTTACGTTTTCTTGATCAACAAAGAATTTGTGTTAACGAGTCGTTATTTGATTTAACAACGCGGCAGCGTGTTGTGTAAAATTGCGTTATCGCTACGGCGTATTTTGTGACAGCGTGACAGCGTCTTGTGTGAAATTGTGTAAGTGCGACGGTGTGAGGCTTGAAAGCGTATACATGTATCAGCGCGACAATGTGTTGTGTAAAGTTGCATTAGTGCGACGGCGTGTTGCTTGAAAGCGTACATGGTATAAGCGCGACGGCGTGTTGTGTTGTGTTTGTGTTGTGTGTTGCTTGAAAGCGTGTTAGCGCGACGGCGCATTTTGTGAAGTTTTGTTAACACAACAGCGTGTTATTTGAAAACGTGTTCGTGTGATGGCCATTTGCTAAATGCTCAACATTGCGTTCAGAGGAATATCCCATTGTGCTAACACGCTTTCACACAACGCGGCGTCGCGCTTACACACAACACGCCTTTGCGCTGACACAACTTTACACCCTCGCGCTGAACATTACATAACACGCAGTCGCGCAATCACAACTTTACACCACACGCCGTCGCACTAGCACAATATTGCACAACACGCCGTCGCGCTAACGCAGTTTTTCACAACACGCTGTCACACGACTTGCTTACACATCTTGGCACTCTACACGGAACAGCGTTGTGTGTTAGTGCGACGTCGTGTATTTTTGAACGCCCTATTGAGCTTTAATTTGCAAATGGCACTATCCCGACGCTAAATACATCAAGACATTGATATACCGAAAAAGTAAAGTTAGTCACTCTTTATTTTTATTTTTTTTAATTATTATTAAAAAATTTAAACAAAATTATTTTTGTGTAGATTTTTTTCTTCATCTAATTTATTAATTCATACCTGGATAGCCGTATTTGAACATCGTAATGAACTTCATCATGAACTTCGGAGCTTTTTCGAATTTTTCGTAGCGCTGGAATCAAATGGTTTTGGAGAAAACTGCGAATGTTGCTCACATCTTGAATAATATCATAAAAAGACTGTTTGATGCACTCTTGCAACTCTCTGACTTGTTCTAAGAGACTACAGATGATTTCATCCATCCACGAGGTGTACTTTCTTCTTAATCTCATCTCTCTAATTCCAACAATATACGCTAACATCCCCATCATATAACTCTGAAAGTATACCAGCAAGAAATCTGAAGCACAACAGCCACTGTTTTCCCTTGGACCAAGTCCTTTGAAACTCACACTAAAAGTTTCTTTACATAATACGACAACAGCACGATCTCTAACTCGTTTCTTTTCACTGACCATATAAGGAAATTCCTTGCGGTATGCGTCAAACCAATGAGTGTGTTGCAACATGCCGTTTAAACTATTCTCAAACTCCGCGCATGACGGAACTTTTTCGAGATCTTTCGAGAATTTTTCGAAAAACTTGAGTAAAGTATCACACAGATTGACAATCCACTCTTCAACTTTTCTTGATAGAAAACCCCTGAACATACAGTCTTTTTCTGAAAAAACACTTTTGTTTGTTAATTCTATATCTTCTAGGATGTCCTGAATTGACTGCATTTCCTTCTTAGATCTTGGTCGAAAGGTCAACACAGTAATAGCATCGGGTAAAATACTTTTTCCTTGGCCTAATTTTTCTATGTTGGCCTACAAATAAAAGTATGGCAATTAAATAATCATGATTTATTCCGATTTTTCCTATGATTTATATTCTAATATTGCGGAATACTGTACACAGGAAACATTGTCGAAAATATTAACATAATACCGGTTATCCCGAAGAAATTAAAGAAAGCAAAATCAGATCAAGAGTTTACGTTATCAATGGCTCTTATCAGCTTCCGTACATTGTCTTCGGGGCTTTCTAAAAATAGCTTGGGTTTTCATTTCTCAGTACATTTATTTTTATCGCACTTTTATTTTTAAACACTTGTAAACAGCAAATTATTAAGAAAATGAAATTAATCTCGAAGAAATACAGAAACAATACTGACCCTGTTTTCCAAGTCATTCTGTGAAACTAAATGAATCGGAATGACAAGAAAATTATCTTCTACGGCACACCTTCCTGCTTCCCTCACACTGGTTTGACTGTAGTGTTTTTTGCATGCATCTGTGGTAAACTTGTTCCATTCGAGAAAATTGAGCACGTCCGTAGAGTCTTGGGAGAATATGAACAGTTTCAATTTTGACTGTATCTTTAAAAATTTCTCTGGTATTTTCCCTGGAGAGCTATTTTCTTTTAGTTCACGTCTAAACAGTGAGAATTCGTGAATAAGTTCATTTACATGTCCACTTACTTTTGGAATTAATTCCAAAGGCACATCGCACTCCCAGCAAAGTATGTGCTGAGTATCCTCCTCCATGGTCAACATTACAAGGAATGAAAGTTGACTATTTTTATCGACTGGAATTTTTCCTACCTTCTAAAAATAGCCACACGTATGCTCCGGTACGGAGACCCGAAAAAGTCAATTATAAAAGAAACAAGTTGCTGTCCTTTAAAAAAAGGACTACAATACGTGGACCATATGCATGTTTTCTTTTAACAGAAATTCAATCAAAGAAAATTTGTTAAGTTTATTGGATATTAATGTAGGTTCGTTCGCATTTTCTACAGTGATCTCTCTACTTTGACCGATAGTACTTTCATAGCAAAATTGTTAAATTTAATCTCCGATTGGCATAATTTATATAGTTTTGTTATTTTCAAATCCAGGCTATTTTGATACATATATAACCCATAATGGCTGGTAATTAACATATACCTGAACTGAACTGAATTCTTTTTTCAGTTTCAAAATTCAGTTCAGGTCTGTAGTGCGCAGATTTTTTTTTTGAGCCCCCCCCCCCCCCCCTTCTTCCCCACATGGAATACCGTTGCTAAAGGCTTGTATCAAGCTGTATTTGAATCTATATATATCAAATTTTTTTCGAGCCGTGAAGCACAAAATTAATGCCAGTGAAGACTTGTTTTATCTTTTAAAAACCAACAACTATTTGTAATACTATGTATGAAGTTTTAAATTCAAGTTGTAAAGTTATCTATAGATAACTTAACAACTTGAATTAAAAACTTAATTCAACGACTAGTTCTATGTTTTTAAAAGATTCTAAATGTAGCTAAATGTAAGTTCTTCATACTTTTTAAAATGCTTGTTCCATAGATTCAATGTTTAGTTCGTGTTTAAAAGTATGTGTACAAGATTAAAAACAACCAGCCAATGAACTCTCAATCGCATCATCTCGGGTCTTTCTGTCAAATGTCGGAAAGCTAGTCGAGAAGGCCCGAGAAGTTGCGATTGGTGAAGCGGAGTCAGCCGAAGATTGCTGATTGGAACTCTCTAGAATTCTCGCGCATGCGTAGGCTGGCGTATGCCCAGGGCATCCTGTTTAGCCTCGCTTATATATTTACTGCGTGGACCTCAGGGTCAACGCAATCAAGTTTGGAAATGATCAATTAACAAAATATCAAATATTGAAATACATATGTTTAATTTACAAAAATGAATTTAAAGGTATTTTAAATAATAAAAATCAAATAACGGATGAAAACACAGGAACTCACTTTTCAAAAGATTTAGGACTAAAACCAAAATTTAATTCTACATTCAACTTTGATTTATATTATATTGACAGTGGTTGTAATTTGAAAAAAAAGAATGTACATGTATATGTACATGTATATATTAAGTTATATTTACAATAGTAATTTTAAATGGAATAATTACTTATAATGCAAAATATTACAATCAGATCTACTTAAGTTCTCTTAAGTTCTCAGATGCAAGTTCTTTTGTAAAACGGGTCCCAACATTCCAAATTATATGATATGCTGAAAAGTATTATTTATTTATCCATTCATTCATTTACTCATCCACTCATTTAACAAATGTGAAGCCAGTGGATTTTTATTAGAAGTCTTTACATTTATTTTGGCTGTAAGGTGTGTTTGTGTAACCTGTATTTATATGAGATACCTTTTTGTAACAACACCTACATGATACATGTGCATAGCGAAATGCAACATGGATACAAGACTCCACGTCAAGAAATATGATTCATTCAAAACTATACTGTGTTTTGAAAGACTTAGGCTGTAATATAAAATTACATTCAAATGCCAATTGACCATTTCCAACATTTTAAGCCCCCCCCAACCCCCAACCCAAAGCAAGGTTGGATGTCGGATTGAGGAAAAAACAGGCTCGAGGGCTTATTAGCCAGGACCAGAGGAGAAGATACATGTATTCAAAAGCATTAATTTATTCGGTATATATTAGTAATAAATACCCCTACTACCATGACACCCCTGACCCAGGTACCATGAAACTCACAATTTTGGAAGAGGCAGTCTTCCACTTCATAACTATGTACTTAGTTTATCTTCTTATAATAAAAGAAATTTTTTGAAAGTTTAGAAAATAAAAATTCGCATAGATATTCCTCATCAATACACATTCTGCCTAGTGATTGGGTCAGTCCCTACCAACATAGGCAAGATATGCATTGTTATGGGGTTAAAGAAAAAGCAAGATTGGTCAAAGGCAAAAATTTAAAGAAAACAGGATGCTGGAGAGAGATTACACCTTTGCCATCATATGCACCATGTCATATGATGTTACTCCAAAGGTTTCAGTCCCCAGGGTCCTTATTATAGGAATTTTTTAATTAAATAACAAAGTTTAACATATAGATATAAAAGAAATACTAGAAAACCGAATTAATAAAATAATATGTGGTGCCAAGGACAATACATTTTATAATTTGTTATGAATTTTATTTTTTGTCCGAAGCATTCTTTATATGCATTTTAAAAGAGCTTACGATGTTTGAATTTTTCAAAGTGTGTTCGAATCAAGGGTGTTTTACTGTCATTTTTAGAAAATTTTCTGACAAAAACATACATAACATATCAAAAATTCTCGCGCATGCGTAGGCTGGCGTATGCCCAGGGCATCCTGTTTAGCCTCGCTTATATCTTTACTGCGTGGACCTCAGGGTCAACGCAATCAAGTTTGGAAATGATCAATTAACAAAATATCAAATATTAAAATACATATGTTTAATTTACAAAAATGAATTTAAAGGTATTTTAAATAATAAAAATCAAATAACGGATGAAAACACAGGAACTCACTTTTCAAAAGATTTAGGACTAAAACCAAAATTTAATTCTACATTCAACTTTGATTTATATTATATTGACAGTGGTTGTAATTTGAAAAAAAAGAATGTACATGTATATGTACATGTATATATTAAGTTATATTTACAATAGTAATTTTAAATGGAATAATTACTTATAATGCAAAATATTACAATCAGATCTACTTAAGTTCTCTTAAGTTCTCAGATGCAAGTTCTTTTGTAAAACGGGTCCCAACATTTCAAATTATATGATATGCTGAAAAGTATTATTTATTTATCCATTCATTCATTTACTCATCCACTCATTTAACAAATGTGAAGCCAGTGGATTTTTATTAGAAGTCTTTACATTTATTTTGGCTGTAAGGTGTGTTTGTGTAACCTGTATTTATATGAGATACCTTTTTGTAACAACACCTACATGATACATGTGCATAGCGAAATGCAACATGGATACAAGACTCCACGTCAAGAAATATGATTCATTCAAAACTATACTGTGTTTTGAAAGACTTAGGCTGTAATATAAAATTACATTCAAATGCCAATTGACCATTTCCAACATTTTAAGCCCCCCCCCCCCCACCCCCCAACCCAAAGCAAGGTTGGATGTCGGATTGAGGAAAAAACAGGCTCGAGGGCTTATTAGCCAGGACCAGAGGAGAAGATACATGTATTCAAAAGCATTAATTTATTCGGTATATATTAGTAATAAATACCCCTACTACCATGACACCCCTGACCCAGGTACCATGAAACTCACAATTTTGGAAGAGGCAGTCTTCCACTTCATAACTATGTACCTAGTTTATCTTCTTATCACCTGGAGTACAAAAGGAGAAGATTTTCAAATCAATAATTTATTCGGTAAAAAATAAACACCCCCCTTTACATGGAACCCCTGACCCAGTGGCAATGAATTCACAATTTTGGAAGAGAAAGCCTTCCACATCATAACTTTGTACATGTACGAGTACATGTACCTATTTCATTAGCTTAATATCTATAAACAGAGATTTTCAAAGATTTAATACATTTTTACCAAGGTATGAATTAAACCCCACCCTAACACCAGAACCCTTGGCCCTGGAGCAATGAAATTCACAATTTTGGTTGAGACACCATTGTTCATCATAATTATTATACATATTAATTTTGTTTCATACCCATGGGCAGAGAAAATTTTCAAAGAAACATTGCACTTTTACGTTATTGTTTATATAGCCCCGCCCTAGCACTAGAACCCCTGACCTTGGGCAATGAATTTCAAATTTTTGGTAGAGGACTCAATGCTTATTACAATCATACTAATGGTTTGATTGCTTGATTTCCAGGAGAAAAGAAGATTTTAAGGTCACCTAAGTCAGTCAGGTGACCTATTGCTATCCGTTTTCGTCCGTCGCCATGCGTCGTGTGTCGTGTGTTAACATTTTTAGTTTCTTCTCTGAAACCACTGAACCAATTTCAACCAAATTTGGTATACAGCATCTATGGGTGAAGGGGAACAAAAATTGTGAATTTTATTTCCCCGGGGGGGGGGGGGGGCTAAGGAGTGGGACCAAAACCAATAAAATTAATGAAATCTTTTAAAAATCTTCTTCTTTACTCCTTGACATTAAGCAGTCAACTTGTTGGCATGAATGTAATGAGCATAGAGTCCTCTACCAAAATTGTGAAATTCATGGCCCCAGGGTCAAGGGTTCAAGTGCTAGGGCTGCGCTATATAGATTATATAGTGAAAATGCATTATTTCTTTGAAAATCTTCTTCTCTGCTCCTGGGTATTTAATAAACTAAGTAAGTACATGGTTATGATGATCAAGAGTGCCTTTTGCAAAATTTTATGGCCCTAGGGTTAGGAGTTCTTGTGTTAGGGCGGGGCTCTATTGATAATATAGTAAAAATACATTAAATCTTTGAAAATTTTCTTCTCTGCTCCTGAGTATTAAGCAGATGAACTACCTATATAGTTATGACGAGCAATGGCTCTTCTTTCGGAATTGTGAATTTCAAGGCCCCAAAATCAGGGATACCATAGAGGAGGGGCTCTACTTATATACTGAAAATGAATTAATTGTTTGAAGTCTGCTCTTTGGTATCAATCAAACACTTTTGATAAGCAAGGGTGCCTTTTCAAAAATTGTGCAATGTGTGGACCTAGGGTCAGGGATGTGGTATGGGCACTACTGATTATTGCTGAATATTACTGATTAGTTGAAATGCATTTGTTTTGTTCCCCT